AGGGGGAGTGGGAGAGGGAGAAGCAGGCTTCCCGCCGAGCAGGGAGCCCGATGTAGGACTCGATCCCAGGACCCTGGGATCGTGACCTGAGCTGAAGGCAGACGCTTAACGACTGAGCCACCCAGGCGCCCTAAAGTGACATATTTTGAGACAAAGAGATAAACTTTCTTCTCTCTATGGATAGCACCACATCCCACCAATCATTCTCTAACTTGAAACCTGGAGTCACCCTAGGAGTTTAGTCTTTTTTTCCTCCCTCACATTTAGTTGATCATCAGATCCTTTTGATTTTGTTGCCTAAACATCAATGGCCTTGGTTGAAAACCTCTCAACTGCTACGTGTTTTGTCTCAGTCCTGATAGCCCCACCCCCTTGACACACTCTCCTTTAAAATTCAAACTGTCTCGCCTCACTCCAGGCTTAAATTCTTCTAATGGCTTCCCATTGCCTTAAAATATGAATTCCTGGGTGGCTCAGTTGGTTAAGCATCTGCCTTTGGCTCAGGTCATGATTCCAGGGTCCTGGGATCAAGTCCCACATTGGGCTCCCTGCTCCTTGGGGAGCCTGCTTCTCCCTCTCCCACTGCTGCTCCCCCTGCTTGTGCGCTCTCTTTCTCTGTCAAATAAATAAATAAAATCTTTAAAAAATATATATATGAATTCCTTACGGTGGCAAAATCCTTTGTATCTGGTTACTGTTAACCTCTGCTTTAGTCACACGTTCCCTGTGACTAAAGGTCCTTGGGAAAAACTTCCTCACCTTTCCTTGGATCTTACTTTTCTGCAAGATATAAGAACCCTTATTTCCTTCTCCAGGAGAAATGACTGTCAGAGTATGAACAGCCCTCCAAACTCTAGAGGGGAAATACCGTTTATGTCACTTGTAAACCTCAGAGCCTGTCATGTGTCTGGGCAGCATACCTCCTTAATGGATATTGTTAAATGAAGAAAGAATGACTGAATGTTCAAATCACCTTAGCTGGTGGCAGGAGTTGGGGTGGAGGACTATGAGTCAGAGGCCAAACATAAAGGTTTACTAGCTGTGTTTTATGGGACCAGGCCATTAATACTCTCTTTTACGGAAACTGCCTTGTCTACTAGGCACTTGTCCTGTAGCCTCCATCCTGACCCCCATTCCTGTAGGAATGATTAAATTGGGTAATCCGACCCTCCCATTTGCTGGCTGGGGACCTGTGTGACCTGTCATGAAAAGATGAGCTGGGTTAATCTGTTTTCTCCTGGGATCTGGGAATTAGGAAACAGATTAAAGTGGTAAGCTCCAGCATAGGTTGAAAGGATACATCAAGAATTGTCAAAAAAATCTATAGCAGTTGCAGAGTGGCCCTGAAACTTATTTTTGTGAACTGTGCAGTATTTTCTAATAATTTGAAAGTGTTGCCAACATTTGAAAACTGGGGAGGTTTCACATTAAAATCTGGCTGTTTGGCTTCTCTTATAAAATCTGCAGGCCTGATATGGCAAAAACATCCTGGAGCTGAGCAGTACACGGGGCACATGCTTCCCCCCTTCACCTCGGCCACCACCCCCCTATGCTGCTTACACCTGGCCAGCTTCCTTCACTTACGTCATCTGCTTGGGCTCCCGTAGCCATCTGACCACCAGCTTGTTGAAGGAACCAGTAGCAATTCGGCATTATATGCAAGCCAGGCTCACAGGGAAACAGAATCCACACAGAGCAGAGGACACCTGGTGAGAGTTGGGCAGTAGGTGAGAAAGATTGAGGATACAGCTACCAGGAGAGGGAAACCAGTTCCCCCAGGTGTCTGGGTTCTTTGGCTTCCCAGTTTCAGTAGCTGCCCACAGTTACCCTCATCATAACTCCAGGCTCTTGACATAATTTGCAATGCAGTGAGCCAGGCTAAGGTAGGGAGTGAGTGGGAAATTGGTAGAGAACAGCAACGAGGACAGTAAGACAGTGGTGTAGCTAGATGACATTATCTCCTCAAAAGAAATTCTTGTATGAAGGTGGAATGTAAATTGTAAGTTGTCAAGAGTTAGATTCTTGCTGATTATGTATCCTTGGCCAAGGAGGATCAGGGAAGGCGTAGTGAACAACTTCTACTCAAGAGGACGTACAGTTAAAAGTATCCTCAGAGAGGGGCGTCTGTGTGGCTCAATTGTTTGAGCGTCTGACTCTTGATTTCAGCTCAGGTCATGATCTCAGGGTTGTGAGATTAGGCCCCATGATGGGCTTAGCGCTCAGCTTGGAGTCTGGTTGGGGTTCTCTCTCCCTCTCCCTTTTGCCCCCCTCCCACATGCCTGCACACGCTCTCTAAATAAATAAATAAAATCTTAAAAAAAAAAAAAAGTATCCTCAGAGGAAATCAGAAGCATTCTGGGAAGGAAGGTCTATGGGTATACAGGGTTCCAGAGGCTTTCGAGGAAGGGACTGGGAAGTCTGGGGAAAAGACATTTGTGAGATTTAAGGTTTGATTATTTATATCCTTTACCGACTAACTTTCACTGTGTGTTGAAAAGAGAGGTCTGTATTTCAGCAAACTGAGAAGGCTTCCTGAAAGAAGTGGCATTTGAGCTACATCTTTAAAATGAAATGGATGAAAAGGAAATGTTTTTTAGGCAGATAGAACCACACTTATAAAGGCCAAATTCTAAAGGGGAGAGCAGGCAGTTTGCAGTTAAGAGTCTGGTGACATGGGGCCTGTGTTTAGCTTGAGTCACCCAGCAAGTTATTTCTATACCTTGGGGCCTTGGTTTTCATTACTCTAAGTCAAGAATATTATGTGTCTTCTAAGACTCACTATTCCCACCCTAACCCACTTGTAATATTTCTTAATTTAGGACATACCCCACAACTGACAACCCCAGATGCTTGCTTTACAACAGGGCAGAAAAAAAAATTGATAGTGTTATCACTAACTGGATGTACATAAATTTAGCTGTCCGCAGAAAATGTTCATTATTGACAATTAGCTTTGTTGAGTCATTTACATTGATGGTGCCATGCAGCTGAATTTTAATTTGAATCCCAAAGTGTCAAGTTAGGCCTCTTCCAAAACGTTACATTGTGTTGAAGCATTGAAACAATAAGTTATTGTATATACAGATTAGTTGTCATGCATCAGGAATACAATTAAATGCAGAAATGGCCAACTCTCTTTCTAAATTTGACACAGAAGTTATAAATCCAGAAGAGGTTGGCTTGACCAACTGAAGTGTCTGGGGATACTGAAGGCTTAACTGTCAATAGTTTCCAGTTATCAAAAGAAGCTGTGTAGATTCCAGGGATATGCAATTCAATTTAAAAAAGAAACCAAGTTACCATATGAGTTCACTCATATGTGGAATTTAAGAAACAAAACAAATAAGCAAAGGGAAAAAATGAGAGAGAGAGAGAGAGATCAAGAAACAGCTTCATAATTATAGAGAACAAACTGATTAAGGGGGGGATGGGTGAAATAGGTGATGGGGATTAAGGAGTGCACTTGTCCTGATGAGCACTGGGTGATGTATGGAAGAGCTGAATCACTATATTGTACACATGAAACCAATATAACACCGGTATGTTAACTAGAATTAAAATAAAAACTTAAAAAAATAAAAAGAAACCAAGTTTATAACCAAAGAAGAAACATATATAATGTTTGTATATTCTTTGAAATGTCTCAAAATTATACTGTTAATTTCTAAAAGGTGCTAAAGAGATCAAGATACAACCACTGGTTATGTAAAACATCCTACCATCATGCTACACTTAGCCAGATGGTCAAAATGGTTATATAAGACTTTAGGCAGTGGAAGTGAGAAGGCTTACATTTAAACTTTTATTATAGCACTTAAGAATAAAGTGATACAATTATGATAATAGCCAGCATTTACTGAATGGTTACTATGTGGCACTGTCTTGTGTCTTTAGAGTTCTTATTTCAGCTTCAAGGCAACTCTATCAGATCGGTGGTGTTACCTTCATTTTGCAGTAAGAAAAGATAGAAGGAAAATCCAGAAAGTTTGCCTTCAGGCTCTCACTCAGAGCCACTACACTGTTACAGTATGCATTTTGTTGCATTCTATGGATACTCTTATGCCTTTTCGGTTGGGTTACATTTTAATATAATGTATCCTAATTTTTTTTTTTTTTTACAATCAATGGCATATTAAAATCAGAAGTATGGTAAATGCTTTGTTGGATCAGGTGATGCATATCTTGCAGGGAGGGCTCTTGGAACAACTTTCAGTGGGCTGGTGTTGCAAATGAGGAGGTGAGCCTGATTTTCAGAACCCTACGGTCTTTGAACTGGTGAAAGCTATTGAGAGGAAAGTAACAGTAAGGAGGAATGTCTTCTGCGGGTTTGAAAGCGTTTCCTCCACACCAAACGCCTTACTTCGCCTACCTGTCGGAATCCTGATCTTTCCAGGCTCGCCCCAAATACCAGCTCCTTCAGGAAGTAGTCTCTTAGTTAAATGGAAGATACACGTGGGAGAGATTTCCAAGTTATTAAGAGATGAAGTCAGTAAAGTGAAAGACGGATTGAATCTTTAAAGCCACCCTTACTCCTCTCCCGACCTCAGTTTCTCTAAACGGAAAGGAATTGGTGGCTTAGCCTATCTCTTCCTTTGATAGTTTCTACTCCCAACCTCTTCAGATTTCTGCCAAAGCTGTAGGAGTCCTCAGACCTGCAGGCGGCGGCCCCTCCGCGTTGGCAGCTCAGCAGGGCGGGGCTGAGAAGCCCGAGAAGAGGCGGGGGCTCCGAGGGAAGCGCGGCGCTCAGCCACGTGACTTCCTTCCCAAGGAGCCTCAGCTGCTGGCCTCCCAGCAACCGGGCGCGTCCCGCCTAACGACTCCTGCGCATCCCGGTTGGTCCTCGGGGACGCTTGTGGCAAGGAGGCACCCACGGTCGCGCTGTTCATTGGCTCGAGCTACCGTCGCTCAGGTGCGTTGCCGGAGCGCCCGCAGGCGGTGCTGCCGGAAGCCCCTCCCATTGGCCGCCGGGTTCGTGGCTGGCTGGCGGAGGCTGTCACTCCCGGGCGGTTTCCCTGTGACCGGCGCTCGGCTGGAGGCGGGAGGAAGAGGGGCCGGACTGGGGCCTGACGAGCCGCCGCTGCCGCCACCGTCTTCGCGGCTGCTATGACCAGCGGGCGAGGCGCCCTCCGCACCTCCGCGCAGCGCTAGTCGCGGCCGTGCGCCCGCCGTCGCTGTCTGGGTCCCCGGCGCAGCCGCTCCCGCGGCTCTCTAGGCTCTTCCAGCGCCGCCTTCGAGGCGAGGCGGAGGCAGGATGAAGATGACGGTGGATTTCGAAGAGTGTCTGAAGGACTCGCCCCGCTTCAGGTAACCGGCGAGGCCGCCGGGCGCCGGGCTGCGGTCACCCCGGAGCTGCCTCCCCCGGTGGTGGGGGCGCGAAAGCCGGCCCGCTGAGCGCGCAGAGGGCCCCGCAGTCCGCGTCTTCCGACGAGGCCAGCGACCGTTGTCGCAGCTCCGGACCCGGCGAGGGCACTGCAGCCCGACCGACCCTTGCTGAGGGCTGAGGCTGGGCCGGGAGGGGGACGTCGCCTCCTCATCTCGCTTCCTCGTCCTCTGCCCGGGGAGGAGCGCCCCGGAGGCCGGGAGCACCCGTCCGCTTCGAGGAACCAGGGTGCAGCCGCGTCCCCGGAGAGTCGTGCCCTTTGCGGGCGCGCGCTCTCGTCCCCCTCCTCTGGCTGCTCCTTGCCCCTTCCTTCCGCTCCGTCTTCGTTTCCACTCCCGCCCCACCCCCTCTTTGAGGAGCTTGCAGGGCACCCTCTTGCAGTTCACTTAGTTCCTCTTTGCGCTTTTCCGCTCCCCTTACCCGGGGAGGAAGGAGTGGGGCGACCTGGGACTGCTGCTGCTTGCGTCCCCTGCCGGGGGGGGCGCTCAGGGAGGCGCTGGCGGTCGCTTTGCCCCCGGAGTCGCGGGTGGGAGTACTTTGACCAACCGCATTCTGTCGACCCTGGTCGGAGACTGTCTGCTTTTCTTTCCACTTGAGCTCTCCCCGCAGTTGAGAGGCGCTGGGCTGAGGGATGAGGACTAGGAGAAAACAGTGCATTTCTGTTTTGAGAACGGAAGTAGGAGGGCCCTGAAGATTGCATATATGTTCCTCTTCCAGCAGCGTCGGCCCGGGAGGGCCCCGGATCACAGTCGGATGCTCCCAGTGGATCTGTCACATAAACTGACGTGGTGGCACTCGGATTCACAGGGGCTGGCCTCCCTCCCATGTGAGAGGCGGCAGTCCTGAGGGTGTCCAGAGTACTTGCCCTTTACTTCGGGCATCTTGGGAAACTCCTGAATTGTTTTTGGAGAATAGTTTTGATAGGTTGTATTTTACGGTGCATGTATAGGGCTGTCCTTAGGCCTTAAAATAAGAGGCCTTACGACTTGCCTTCGATAATGACATTTCTTGAAAGCTTTCTCTGAGCCTTGGTGTGTATTTGCCTGCTGATCTCTAGGCCAACCCTGAGTTGTAAATTCTTGCATCCTTTTCCTGGGAACTAACTGTTCTCATTCTTATCACTGATTTCCCATTCTCTTTTCACTGAAAAGCAAAGAATTGTAAAACTGAGGAACTCCTAAGAGAAAATTTAAGAACTTTTTTTTTTTTGACTTGCTTTTTTTTGAGGAGGGTGTTAATTTTATTTGGAGCTTAGTAAAAAGCTGCATCTGGTTTGATTGCTCTTGTTGATACTAGTTTTTGAAAGTTTTGTGCTCCGTGTGAATTAAAAGGACCCAAAGGGGACACACATGGATTGCCTAGGACAGCTTTGCAGGGTAGAGTCCAGACTGTGTGGCAAATGAAGTAATTTTTAAAGTGTACCTCAGAAAATTCTGCTTTTTGTGAATTTTTATTTATATGACTTGGCTATTTGTTTTTTTAATGAAGTAACACAGCATTTTCCCTCTAGAGAATGTGGCTTTATATTCAATTTGTTTCACATTTTAAGTTGGATTTTTTTAAACAAGTTGAGAGAAGTGATATGGAAATACTTGTAGTCACTGGTGTTGTTCACAAACCATGTGATGTCTTTGTTTTTGAAATAAAGGAATCATTGAATATAAAATAAGAGGGAAAGATACTGATTAAGTTATATGGAATATGATAGTGAACTTTGTTAAACTTGAATATAATATCTATTCTATTTTAATTCAGTATTAAAGATTTTTCAAAGAGTTGCTTCCAGTATTCCAATTATTGTTGGCTGCAAATTGGGAAGAGAAATTGATTCAGATAACTCCAATATCTGGTATACATTTTTGGAACTAGATTAGATTTGCAATAGAGGGAAGTATGCCAAGAAATAAAGGTCTCATCGCTCACATTCCTAATTTTTCCAGTCTTTCTATAACCCCATTACTATGTAAGTTTGTATAGCATTTGAAAAGAATATTTTAGAATTCTTTTATCCATATGCTTTATGTATAAGAGAAACTTGACTTTTAAGAGTATCTGCATGTTGTGAATGATATATTGAAACTCTCATATTAGAATAGAAAATTTGTGAGGGGTGGGCCTATTAATTGTTTTGTTTTTGGTTTTGCTTTTTAAAAAATCTTTTTTAAAAGATTTTATTTATTTGATGGGGCGCCTGGGTGGCTCAGTTGGTTAAGCTTCTGCCTTCAGCTCAGGTCATGATCTCTGGGTCCTGGGATCAAGCCTGCATCGGGCTTTCTGCTCAGCGGGGAGTCTGCTTCTCCCTCTCATTTTCCCTCTGTGCTCTCTCTCTCAAATAAATAAAATCTTAAAAAAAAGATTTTATTTATTTGAGAGAGAGAGAAAACGAGCGGGGGGCGGGGAGGGAGAGGGAGAAGCAGGCTCCCTGCTGAGCAAGGGCCAACCCCTACCCCCCAACTGGGGCTGGATCCCAGGACCCTGAGAACATGACCTGAGCCTAAGGCAGACACTTAACTGACTGAGCCACCCAGGGGCCCTGTTTTTGCTTTTTGATAGCAAGGCAGCTGCACTATTATTCCTTGTAGTGTTCTGATCTGTTGTGATGTTTTAAAACTAATTCTTTTATTTTTCCTTTATAAATGAATATTATGGCATTTAAGTCTGGCATGGGGACATAACTGCCTTGGGTGCTGTAGAATTGTTGCAGAAGGCAGATCTTGCTGAAGAAAAATTTACCAGTGTTCAAGTTCTAAACATTAATTTTCCTGCTAAGTCGGTAAGGAAAATAGGAGGGGGATTGGTTGAAATAGGGAGAGAAGGATGTTGCTATTGCAACATTGTCTTTAGTAATGCAAATAAAGCCTATGGTTACTTTTACATTCCAATGGACATTTTTTTGTTTGTTTTGTTTTTAGATTGGAAGGCACATTTTGTTGTATAATTTTGTGACTAAAAATTACCTTTTTAGTTTTTTAAAAACTAGTCTAAAGGTCAAAATCTTGTTCATCTAAAAATCTACAAGAAAGTACATGTGTCAAAGCATACTTTTTTTTAAATTGGAATTTTCCATTTTGACCAATATTTGTTTGAAGAAGTTTGAATTTGTTTGGACTCTAAACTGTATATGTAGTTGCTCTTTAGAATTTTATAGAATTAAAAAAATTGTGCTTTTCCTTTATTTAAACATACTATGGTTCATGCAGGAGTGAATATTAAAAAAAAAAGTTGAATTTGCACTTTCTGAATTGTGAAACATTTTTGATCTAAGCAATGTTCAAATATAAAAATATTGGCATTACAAGTCTTCAAAACTTTAGTCTTTACCTGATACACATTTATGTTTTATCCTTAACAGTGTTTACTGTGTACCATTCTGAAGGTTTTTCATTTGTAGATTAGCAGGGCAATTAGAAAATACTTTCTGACCAATGAAACCAAAATCACATACCAAAACTTATGGGATGTAGCTAAAGTAGTGCCTAGAGTGATATGTATATCTTCAAACACCTGTGTTAAAATCTTCTCAAATCATGATCAAACCATCTATCTTAAGACACTAGAAAGAGGAGCTAGCAAACTGATCGTAAAGCAGGAAGAGGGAGGAAATAAAAAAGACTAGAGCAGAAATAAAAAATAGAGAATGGGACAGTAGAAAAAGTCATGGAACCAAAGATTTGTTTTTCAGAAAGATCAATAAGATCGACAAATCTTTAGCTAGACTGACCAAGAAAAAAAGAAGACTCAAATTACTGGATTCAGGAATGAAAGGGAGGACATTGGGATTGTCCTACAGAAATACAAAGGGTTATAAGAGAATACTGTGAATAATTATATGAGAATAAGCTAGATGAAATGGATATATATTCCTAGAAAGATGCAATCTGTTGAAACCAACTCAAGAAGAAATAGAAAACCTGAATAGACCAAAAAAAAAAAAAAAAAGACGAAATCAGAGAGTGAGACAAACCATAAGAGACCCTTAATCATAGGAAACAAACTGAGGGTTGCTGAAGGGGAGGAGGGTGGGGCGCTGGGGTAACTGGGTGATGGACATTGAGGAGGGAATGTGATGTAATGAGCACCAGATGTTGTATGAGACTGCTGAATCACTGAACTCTATCTCTGAAACTAATAATACACTATATGTTAATTAATTGAATTTAAATTAAAAAAAATTTTTAAAAGGAAAAAATATGTCATCAGGGGTGTCATATCCTGTCATATTGATAAACTCTTAATTTTTCAGTTGATTGTGTACTTATAAAATCTAAGTCCTTTTGAAATTGTTGTCCCTGGATCACATGAATCAGAATGAGATATTTGAAAAAAAAGTAACTAAAGCTCCTTAAAAGCTATAAAAAACTATAAAAGAGTTGTTCTTAAAGATGCTTATAGCAATTGAGAAATCACTGGAGTAAGTGTGTTTTTCTAAGATAGGTTTTGAAGTGCATGCTTATTTGGAGATAAATGATCTTAAAATTTTTATCAGTGGTTACTTTGTTTTTTAAAGATTTATTTAAAAAAAGATTTATTTACTTTTGGGGCTCCTGGGTGCCTCAGTCATTAAGCGTCTGCCTTTGGCTCAGGTCATGATCCCAGGGTCCTGGGATCGAGCCCCGTATCGGGCTCCCTGCTCAGCAGGAAATCTGCTTCTCCCTCTCCCACTCCCCCTGCTTGTGTTCCCTCTCTCACCGTGTCTCTCTCTGTCAAATAAATAAATAAAATCTTAAAAAAAAAGATTTACTTTGGGGGGGCAGGGGGAGAGGGAGCAAGAGAATCTCAAGCAGACTCCCTGTTCAGTGAGGAGCCTGATGTGGGGCTCGATCCCACAACGAGGAGATCATGACCTGAGCTGAAACCTAGAGTCAGATGCTCAACCGACTAAGCCATCCAGGCACCCTCAGAAGTTACTTTAAATCGTGTCCTA